ATATATATATATGCAAGTAACAATTCACAGTTCCCCCTATGTCCAGTTTTCAGTGTACCCCACCACCAACACGTATAAACATCCAGTCTCATCCCTCTAGGATTTCCATATGCATGTAAAGCAAATATGAAGATACTTCTTCCTTTTTCTGCATAAAAGTAAAGTATATTCATGCTTTTTATAGCTTTTATTTTCTCTTTTTATTAGATCTGGGTGGGGACATAGCTATGGAGCCTCCTTGTTTTTTTATAACAGCCACATTCTATTCTATTGTCAATTAATGTCCTAAATCAGACTTCCGAAGTCCCTTTTTTTTGTTGTTACCGGGGATCAAACTTGGGACCTTGCACTTGCGAGGCAGGTGGCAGAACCACTGAGCTAAATCCCCAGCACCCAAAGTCCCTTTTTGAAATCTCATTCTTTGCCTTTGTTAATCCAGTGCTTGACCTTCTACTGTGTGTAAATGTGTATATACACATAAATAAAAACTGTGGAAGGAGACACGGGGACTATAGAGAATCATCCAAGTCCTAATAAGCAGATAAATGAGAAAATGAAGGGCCCTTGTTTCTATATTTCCCCTTTATTCTCTGTAGGGCTCCAGGCTTCCAACCTGTGAAGATTTCAACTTTTTCTACTATTTACATTCTACCTTATACCAAAACAATGCTGACCTTACTGTAGTTAGATTCTTTGTTTTTTTAGGGGGGGTACCAGGGATCAAACTCGGGTCCTTGCACTTGCGCAGCAGGCAGCGAAACCACTGAGCTAAATCCCCGGCCCGATTCTTTGTATTTTAACCATCTTGGTCTCCGCAGTGCCTGGTGGAGAGTTGCCCAGATGTTTATTACATAAATATATGGTGCTACTCTTGATCTGGGGGTGTATGTGGCTCAGTGATAGAGCACTTGTCTAGCATGTGCAAGGCCCTGAGTTTATAAGCACTATAAAATTAACATAAAAAATTTTTAAATGGTTATACTACTTTCTCTGCTTATTTTCATAACTCCCTTTCCTTCTAAAGTATCTTCAGCATTCTTGAAAGCTCTTACTAAATACGTTTGTGTTCTATAATAGGTATTTTTTGCCTATTGACTAGCCCTTGGTTCTTTCAGTGGCCTCACACTATCATTTTCCACAGAGAACTCAGCTACTTTCAGAATTTTAACTGCTGCATTATGGATGTTTCCTACACCTCTTATTTTCTTTCATGTTCAAAGCTTTTAAATCTGCCTCTAGCATATTTGTGCTGTGTGTACTAAGTTTATTATATTTTAATCTTTATAACAGTATTATATCTGTTATAGATTAAGAAATTGAGGTTCAGAAGGATCACACAATTAGGTAGTTCTGTAGCTAGTAATTATTGGCGCTCTAATGTGAAGTCACTACACTTGATTGTCTCCTGGAACCTCATACTTAAAACATAGAATAATGTAAGCACTAGGAAATACGAAGATTCTAGCCTTGGTTCTGCTATAGTTGACTCTGATGTTGGGCTGTTCATTTCATCCATTTGATCTGTATTTCTTTTTTTTTTTTTTAGACAGGGTGTCATATGTAGCTTAGGCTGGCCTCAAACTCTGGGATGGAAGTCACAGCTTCTCCTCGCCAGCCTGGATGCAGGTGTAGGCTTCTCTATCCAGTGGGACATAGTGGCACTATGTAGCCCAGGCTCACCTCGAACTTGCAACACTCCTCCTGCCTCACTAAGCCTCCCAAGTGCTGGGATTAGGGCCAGGGATGTAGCTCAGTGGCACAGCACCTGCCTGGGAAGCGCAAGGTCCTGAGTTTGATCCCTGGAACCAAAAAAGTTTCCAAGTGCTGGGATTACAAGTTGCATGACGACGCCCAGCTACTTCTATCTATATTTCTTCATCTAGGAAATAAATGCATTAGGATTTGTGATCTAAATCTGGGATTATTTATAGGATAGGAGCTGGTAGTCAATTACGAGAGCCACAGCTATTTAGTTATATATTAATGCTACTATGTGCCATTTCTATTTGGGTAGGACTTGACTACCAGATCAGTGGGTTTTATGTAAAAGATACTTCCCCTTCTCCTTAAATTATGGAATACACTTTTTGTCTTACTAAATATGTTTGTATTCTGTGATTGGTGTTTTCTGCTTATTGACTTAATGATTTTCAAACAGCTGTGGAAAAATTATTAAAATGTTTTTTAAAATTCCTTCTTCAAACCTTAGGTATGACTCAGAAAGACACATTAGTTGATTCATCTCTTTATTTTTTTCCTTAAATCTGTACCCATTGTATCCATTTTATACAGTAACCTTACAGTACCATACTGTTTTCATTATAGTTGTACTACTTTGATATTATTTTATGACATGATAGACTCATTAGTAAAGAAATATAATGAAGACTGGAATAATCTACAGTTAGTTTATCTCTGAGTAGTAGTATGTTAAGTATTTGAGTTTTTTAACCCATATTCTAAAGTGGGGTCTGATTTTTATCTTGAATATGCTCTGTATAAAGGTGACTTTTCTAGCTTATATACAAAATGATGTTTATTTTTAATAAAAAGAACTAGTATGTTATTTGATAATTTTATTAGTTAAAAAGGATAATTCTGTTTTGTAATTTCAGGGTAATATATTAACTGAAAGTATAAAAATTATAGTACTTTTTCAATTGTTGTTTATCCAATTGGGCTAAATATAATCATTATTTCAAGAGATTTATTTAAAATAGTTCATGTAAAATATTTCAATTTTTTTTCCTTCTTGTTGCAGGAGCTAGAGTTAATGCCAAAGACAGCAAATGGTTGACACCTTTACACAGAGCAGTTGCATCTTGTAGTGAGGTATGAAATTTCTATTAGTAAATACGTTGTATATTAAAAATATTAAGTAGGCCTCCTTGAGTCCAGATTCAAATTCTGAGTTTTCAAAAGAATGAACAAAATTAGAAATACCTAGACTGGTCATTTTATTTCAGAGTTTACATAAACCGAGTAAATTGTTCCATGCCTACTTTTGTGTGAAAGACTTTGTAGAGAGTCTGATATAGCCAAGAGTATAAACACTTTATTTTTGTCCCTCCTAAAAAGAAATTCGTTTTCCTTATATAATCCTCTCCATGGCTTTTCTGTTCTCTTTCACGGTAGCCTTTTGAACAGATTCTATTGATTGTAATCAACACTTTCTCTCATCTGTGTATTAATCAAAATACTGCTTAGACACTGAAGTTATTTTCAAAAAATGTTACTTGTTTATTTTACCTGTTGAAAATATACATCCTTGCAATATGTGAGGTTTCTTACGAATAAGATTAGTTCCTTCTTGTTTATAGCCCTGTACATTATTTGTTCGTCAAGATAACTGACACGTTCAGAGAATATTCCTTATTCGCAAAATATTTTTATGTCTTTTATATCTTGTCCTCATGATGCCTTTACTTTACATAAGGACAGATGTTTTGAGGCAAGTAAAAACTACTCAATTTTGAAAAAGAAAAGAAAAAGACTACTCATTTTGAATCGTGGTGATGGGGCAAAAACCTGGACATTCATTTTCTGTCATTTTACTACTTTTATAGAATACATTTGGTTCTTTTCTATAATGTGTTGTGTCCAAAGCCCCTCTTTTACTGAACTTTGATACTAGGGCTTGATTTGTATTTTTAAGTGGTTTGAAATATAAAAGTATGTATTTGTATAAGTGAATGTTAATTCCATGTTTCTTTAGTTATTTAAGAGCATAGCTACTGCCCCTGTGGGACCAGGTGATTTCTGGAGAAGGAAAGGCAATTGGTGCCTCAGAAGAAAATGAGGGGAACTTTTGCCTCTTTATTGTTGTGTGTATTCCTCATTGTAAACTGTATCTTTAACCCAGAGCAAGAACTGGGCAAAAAAAAAGAGAAGTAGAGGGGAACAATGACTGGGATGGTTAAAACTCTGCCATGTGACAGAGGCAATAGGTTAGCTGTAGCTTCCTGTTTAGGAGGTGGGAGAGGAGGGAAGAGTCGGTACACTTGAGCACACTGTCTATAACTGATAAGCTTATGGAACTTAGATTTGAAGAAAGTAGCTTCAGATAATTTATCTCAACATTTTAGCTATGTGATGTTGGGCAAATACAAAATACTAAGATATAATAGCCAAAAAACTTTGAATTCTGAAGTTGTGTGGTAATACTGTTAATTTTGTAGTTAGCCCTCCAAAGTATTTTTCTTTAGATAAAAGCAGTTAAGATAAACATTACTGTTATTGTAACTTATTAATGTTAGTCATAACTACTCATTTTTCAATGTGACTCTTGTGAATGTGGCCATTGAAATTAAGAGTGTTTTATCATATTAAATCGTCAGAATGTATACTTTGTATAATTGCAAAGGTTGTAAAGAATTCTTCAGAAAAATTAATGTTTAGAGGAAGATGGCGGGTTCTGCCAATTGACTTCTGATTTCTTAAAACTATTTACTAAGCCTGAATTTAAGCACGAGTTCCAAGGTTAGAAACCAGTGGTCCAGGCAAGTTTCTTAGTCTACTCTTCAGTCTCAAAATTACTGAGCTCTGTAGTACAGATCCTCTTCTATAAGATTATGGGAAACAGCTATAAGTTGGGGCTGTTCCATGAAAATATAATTTTTGTAACCCTAGAACATCATTTTCTGACCCTTTTTTACTGTTATAAATAAATTACCATGAGCATTCTTTGATGGATTTGTTTTTATTTCTCTTGAGTAAACAAGTACAGTGGAATTGTGGGGTTGTAAGCCTGTGTGTGTGTGTGTGTGTGTGTGTGTGTGTGTGTGTGTGTATTTTTCCCCCCAGTACTGGGGATGGAACTTAGGACCTTGCGCTTATGAGGCAGGCATGGTGCCACTGAGATAGATCCCCAGTCCCAATGCATATATTTGATTAGCTGACTGATTTCCTTAGCAGATTGATGGGTTATTACTGGACATCTTACCAAATCTTTTGCAAACCCTATAAGTATTTGTGTAACTATTTCTCAAATTTTAGAAACTTTTGGTCACTTTTTATTTCAAAAATTTAAGCTATTGGTGATTCATGAATAATAGTATGTTGTTTATATTTTTAGCTATTTATACTTTCTCACATTTTTCATGTATATTAGTTTATTGTACCTTATAGCAAACTTGAAGAATGTTGAGCAGATGATATTTCCTCCATCTTTACAAATAACACAAAGGATCAGTTTTACAAAGCTCAAACAGTATCCACTGTAATAATAAAATTCTATTTTGTTTCTGGTCCTTCGCATTTTTTATGTGGTTTGGCATTCACTTACCAAAAATAGGATTATGACTGTAAAGAGGAAATTTTTGCTCGGTTTAATTCTGATTATATTGCTCTATGTTGATAGCATACTGAATTCCTTGGAATTCTATCATGAATCCAACTAATAATGTGGTGTTGTGAGATGTTCTTTGTGCCACTGGTAAATAAATCTCTTTAGACAATAAATGCTTAAATTACCTTAACAGCAACTTTCACACTAAATACAGTTACAGCAAAGACTTTGTATATGCCTTTTTAAAAAATTTTATTCATACATGTTTGTAATTCATGCAGTTTACATTGGGGAGCAGTTACATGTACATACCCATAGATTCTTTTTTTTTAATTCCCTCCCCTCCAATTCCCCTATTCCATTTTTCATTCTTGTTGATACTGTTGATCTTAGCTTATGTTATGGCATATAATGTTTACATTAACTGAGATTATTAGGTTCCTGTACATGGCATATGTTTATTCTACTTATTTCCCCTTTTATCTGTCCTTCATTATTCTCTTTGCACTTTGCCTCACTCAAATGAGAGATAATCATATATTTAAGCTTGTATGTCCGGTTTATTTCATGCAACTTATTTTCCAGGTACATCCATTTTCCTACAGATGTCTCAAATCTGTCATTCTTAATAGCAGAGTAGTATTCGATTATATATAAAAACCACATTTTCTTTATTCAATCATCTATTGATAGGTATACAGGCTGTTTCCAGGATTTAGCTATTCTGAATTATGCTGCTATAAACATTGATATGGAGGTCTCATTATAGTATGATGTCCTAAGCTCTTTTGGAAAGATACCTACCAGGGGGATTGCTGGATCATATTATCTACAGAGAAAACTACAGTACTATGAAAAAGGAGATTGAAGAGGGCATCAGAAAATGGAGGGGTCTTCCTTGCTCCTGGATAGGCAGGATCAATATTGTCAAAATGGCCACACTCCCCAAACTGTTACACAGATTCAGTGCAGTCCCAATCAAAATACCAACAACATGCTTTACAGATCTTGAAAAAGCAAATCTAAAGTTCGTATGGAACCAGAAGAGACCTAAAATAACAAAAACAATTTTGAGCAACAAGAGCAAAGCAAGAGACCTAGCAATACCTGACTTCAAGCTACACTACAACCAGTAGTGATAAAAACTGCATAATACTGGAACAAAAACAGACACGTGGATCAAGAGAAGAGAATAGAGGATACAGAAACTTCCCCTGACACATTCAGCTATTTGATCTTTGACAAAGAGGCCAAAAACATGTTGGAGGAAAGACAGCCTATTCAGCAAGTGGTGCTGTGAAAAACTGGTTATCTGTGTGCAGAAGATTGAAACTAGACCCATATTTCTCATCATGTACTAAATTAAAATCAAAATGGATAAAAGATCTAGACATTAAAACAGAAACATTAAATGCATTGGAAGATAAAATCAGTAAAACACAAAGACATAGGTGTAGGAAAGGACTTTCTAAACAGAACCAAAATAACAGCAAGAATCAACAGATGAGACATCAGACTAAAAAGCCTCTGTACTGCGAAAGAACCAGTAGAGTCAAGAGACAACCTACAGAATGGGGAAAAAATTTTGCCAGCTACTCAGAGGACTAATAATATCTAGAGTATACAAAGAATTCATAATTAAACCACCTAAAATTAAAGATCCAGTCAAGAAATGGGCAAGAGAAATGAACAGACACTTCACAGAGAAAGAAATATAAAGGTCAACAAATATATGAAAAAATACTCAACATCTCTGGCCATCAGAGAAATGCAAATTAACACAATGCTGAGGGCCGGGGATTTACCTCAGTGGTTCCGCTGCCTGCCTCACAAGCGCAAGGTCCCAAGTTCAATCCCCGATACTAAAAAAGAAAATACTGCTAAGATTCCATCTTACTCCAGAAAGAATGGCTATCATTAAGAAATCAAACAATATGCTGGGGATTTAGCTCAGTGGTTCTGCTGCCTGCCTCACAAGCACAAGGACCCGAGTTTGATCCCCAGTACCAAAAAAAAAAAAAAGAAATCAAACAATAACAAATGCTGGCAAGGGTGTGGTGAAATGTTGGTGGCAATGTAAACTAGTACAACTGTTATGGAAATCAGTATAGAGATTTCTCAAGGACTGTATATGCCTTTCTAAAACTTTAATGAATTATGCCTAGTGATTTTATTTGTAAAATATGCCATGTGTCTACTGTGAGAAATGTTTTTAATTTTCATATATTCAATAATATATATAGTAATAAGACTGTTCAGTGTGTAAATAAATTGTATTTTGCTAACTGGAAACAAGATAAATATTTCTGAAGGTTATTTGTCAACATTTCTTTCCTTTTGTATATCTTGATAAGGATCATTGTATCTTTTAGTGAGAGGATAAGGAAAAGGAATGTCTTTTTTGAGACGGGGTATCACTTTATAGTTCCAGGCTGTAGTTCAGGGTGGCCTCAAACCTATGGTGATTCTCTGCCTTAGCTTCCCAGTTGTTGATAAGAGTATAGGTTTGTGCTGTCATGCCTAATGGCAGTGTCTTAATACATCCTTTTGACTCTTAAAAATATTTTGTTTTCTTGAGTAAATTCCTACTTATTTACAGCAAGTTCTATCAACTTTTTTATTTCCTCAGGAAATTTTATTTCCTTCATTTATATTTTATATATGTAAAATTTCTGAAACTGTTAACTCTTGTCTCTTATAACTTTTGTTTTCATACATTTTAGGAAGCAGTTCAGGTACTTTTGAAGCATTCTGCAGATGTAAATGCTCGAGATAAAAATTGGCAAACCCCTTTACATATAGCTGCTGCTAATAAAGCTGTAAAGTGTGCTGAAGCTTTGGTACCTCTTCTTAGTAATGTAAATGTGTCTGATCGAGCAGGAAGAACTGCATTACATCATGCAGCTTTCAGTGGACATGGTGAGGTAGGTGGCAATTTATTATATTTACATTGCTCTAACCCCTGGTTAACTTGCTGTTTTTAGCCATTTATCAGTCCATAGTAAAAGCAAACAAAAATATGTCTTATTTATGTTTCATTTTCATTTTCAAAAATGAAAAGTCTAACTAGCAAACCGTTAGACTTTTTCATGATAAAACTTTCTCAAATTTAGAGACTTATTTGAGAGATTATTGCCCATACACTTGAATTTCATAGTCACCTTGGAGTGACAAAGAACACTTCCAACTGTAACACTATACGCTGTACTTCTCTGATTTTACAACCTGAAGAATCCTTTCCTTTGCTGCAGTTAAGGTTACAAAATGTGCTGCTTTTGAAACCTGGAATCCCCCTCAATGAAAAAATTACTGGAAATATGATTAGATATAATTATATTCTTGGTACATTATGACACTATGTCTGTCAGATTTAATCATGTTTTAGATATTAGCTATTGCTTGAATTAAATTTAAGACATTTTCAGTGTGAGAATACTTTGCATTTTAATAATTTAAATACTTTGCATTTTGGGGCTATGAATAGGAATAAACCCTCTTGTTAAAAATTCCAACATTAGACTTTCCAGATTTTTACTCAATTGTTTATAAAATACCAGGATGCAGAGTAATATCTTAAAAAGATACAATGGTACCTTGGTACTTGTTAATTGGTACCAGGACGTATGACAATTACCAAACAAATTGTTTTGGCTGCAAAGGTCCACGAGGCATGAGACAATCAATACTAACAAGTTCTAGTTTGTGTGACAAATACCAGGATAAAATTTTTGTGTCAAAATACTTCCAGTAGAAAATTCAACAAATTTCGAAGTAGTTGAGTACCATTGTATGACTGTAAATGGTTCCTGACTTTTACACACAGTGAACCCTTTATCCTATTTTATCCTGTTACTATGTTAAATGGCCTTCAATATGAAATCTAGCTACTTCCTTTCTACAAATGCACAGCACCACAGAAATTAAGATGAATAGTTGCCACAAAGGATGTTCATGAACAATTCTACTTCCGAATTTTAAAAAGCAAACTGTTTACTTTATTCCAGATGGTCAAATTACTCTTGTCCAGAGGTGCCAATATTAATGCTTTTGACAAGAAGGATAGGCGTGCTATCCATTGGGCAGCATATATGGGTATGTACTTTTTAAGTTAACTTTTTGACATTAGGAAAAGTTGAACATTTTAGTTCTTGCCATTTGCATAACATTTCTTTTTGTGTAATGAAAAGTTACACCGTATCTGAGTTTGGTGCCCAAATGGAACCAGCCTGATAGTGAGGGAGGTTTGCAACAACAGGAATGCACTGGATTCAGTTAATCTAAAAGCTGTTGAAATTAATTGTGTTTACCTTTAAAGGAAGAGACATCTCAGACATGGGCCTAGAGTGTTTAATTAAGAACTGGTGTTTACTAAAAGCTCATTCTGACACGTTTTTAATTGAAGTATAAAGACACAAGTTAGGAAGCTATATTAAGCCTATTTTGGGGGGTTAAATATGTATCATGTTTGATTTTCTTTTTAATATTGTTTTCTATAACAGTAATTTCACAGAAGGAAACTGAGGCTTAGAATACAGGCTTTCCTACTATAACATAATAAATATATTTTTGGAAAATCATACAATTGTACTCTAAAACTAAGAGAGCTCATGGGAAAAAGTAGGCTTGAAATATACCTCACAATACCTATGGAATTTTGTGATCTAACAAAAACATGAATTGGTTCGTAGATCTTAGAGTATTTTAAGATGCACAAAAACAGCATTTCTACTCTGCTGTAGATGCTAAGACCATGCAGATGGAAGTAAATCTATGAATATGGAAGAAATATAACCTGCCATGAGCCTTGGAAGTCCTGTAAGACTGGGGTTATGGTTCAAAGGAAGCCTTGGATGTAGATGTTCGTTTTTGAAGTTTCTTCAAACAAAGATGGAAGAACTCCTCCTCTTGCAGCCCTGGTGTTCAGAGCTTGCTTTGTTCCTGCCAAAGGTTGCAATTCTGCTTCTGCTATCTTGCCATCTCTGGCTGGGAAAAACCACATTTGAATTGTCCTATCTTCTATGTGATGCCAAAATCATCCTATGATAATACTGATCACAGTAGAGTCACTAACCATTCTTATAGGCGTTTCTTATCCTCATTACTTCCTTGCTCTTGGTTATGTCTTTTCCTGACTCTCATTTAAAAGTAAAAGATTAAAAGAAGATTTAATGGGGCCGGGGATTTAGTTCCGTGGTTCTGCTGCCTGCCTCGCAAGCACAAGATCCTGAGTTTGAGCCCCAGTACCACCACCCCAAAAAAAAGATTCAATGGAAGATTACTAACATAGAAATCTATATGATATTATAAAGTAGATTCAAACCAGTTTTAACACTGTATATACATATCTGTATCTATTCATCAAACTTCATCAGATTTTAGTGTAGATACTACTTTTGCCTTTAATAAAAATAATCTCAAACAGGAGAATTTCAATTCTGAATCTTGAATTTCAGTTCTGACCTTTAGAGTAGGTGTAAAGAAAGCTAAAAAACAAAGGTTAGCTTTTTTGTCATGTCGCCATTTTGATAGCTGAAAGCTAAAAACTTGATATTTCATACCACAAAGTTTATGCCTTTTTGTCATGTAATGGGCAGTTTTCTTGTGTTCATTGACGATAAAACACCTAGAAGCAAGTTTCTTGGATAAAGTTTCCTCCTCACATCTAGAGTTTTTCATCTTTAAGTCTGGGGACTTCTGAATATTTTATTGTAGCTTATGCTTCGGGACTGTTTAGAAACAGCTAGTCTGCATAACTTAAAACTGTACACTTTATATTGAAATGTTTTCACAATAGCAGTGTGCATCATGCCTTTACTTCCAATTAATTAGGGTTAACAGTTGTTTTCATCAATTGAAGACCAGAATAATGTTGTGGGTTGCCTGTAGTTGAGCTTCCAAAATAGTTGAATGTGTCTTTCAGAGAGCCTAGCATGGCTTTGTTTTCACTGATGCACCAAGTATCACTTTTCAGACCTCTTGATTGTGGTAAAAAAAAAAAAAAAGATACTGTGTTTCTTAGACATCAATATGTGTCTTAACTCTATTTTGTGCTGCCGTCTCAGAATACTTAAGACTAAGTAATTTATGATGGACACAGATATATTTCCTCACAGTTTTGGGGGGCTGAGAAGTCCAAGATTAAGGCACTAGCATCTGGTGAGGGCCTTCTTGCTCCATAGTAATATGGCAGAAGGAATCACTGCTGGGGGAAATGAAGGGATTACTCCCTCCATAATAGCATTAATCTATTTATAAGGAGCCTTTATGGCCCAGTCATTGCTTAAAGGTCCCACTTCTTAATAACTGTTACAGTGATCTTTGGAGGTAACACATTGCTAAACATGTAAAAGTAGGAAGCTATTAAATGGTCGGCCACTGGTTTTAAAGACAAGCCTTAAGTCCAGGCCATTTTCTCCTCTCAGTTATATTCAGAAAATCCATCAATATTAGTGTAAGAGACATTAGGAATTACATGTAGTCTTCCTATAATTTGTCACAGGCTTCTTTATTAGTCCTAGCCTTCCATCCTCTGTTTGAGGCTCCCTTAATTTTACCTTAGGCCCCTGCTACATATGTTTATGCCACTATTGAATTGTTTTCCAACCCCACCCCTTTCCCCAGATGTTATCTCTGATTGCTAAATTATACATACCATACATATCTGATGGATGCCATTCTAAAAATAACTGTAAATTAAATGAATTCTAGTTCCCTTGGTAGTGTCATTCTATAAATGACAAGATATGCACTTGTTCTGGCCATAGTCCATCCAGTTGCAACAATATCATTTCACTGTAGAACTACCCTCCCCCTTTTTTTCTTTTAAATAAATCACTTCCAAACTGGCTAGAGAGCCTCTTCATGTTTTCAGTAGTCTGTTGACAAGATTTTCTGTACTTATGAAATGTACTCAAATATTTGTCGATTTTCAGATTGTAAATTTGCTTATAATAGCTCCCTTTTAAAATAAGGCTTTATTGGCGTTAGGAAACATTCATACTTTTGAAATCTATTAGTTTGCAAGCACAAATAACATGATCTGCATTATTTCCTTAGAATGATGTATTGAACATTTTTCCCAGTATGTTTCTGTGCATAGCTTTTACTTTTAAACATCCAGAGATTTCTTTTTCTATTCACCCATTTTTAAAAGCTTTAGGGCTGTTGGGGAGATACTTAGTGGTAGAGTGCATATTTAGCATCATTCATGAAGCCATGATTCAATCCTCAGTACTGCAAAAAAACCAAAAAAAAATTTTTAAATAAACCTGTATTTATGTGTGAACATTCCAGGTGTTAATAAGTTCTAATTGTCACTGTGCTATAGTAAACCCAAGTGGGTGTCTTTTTAGAGATGTAAATTAACGTATACTGGGGGATCTTATACTATAGTCACATTTAATTTGGTGCCTTATAAGTTGATAGCTGTCTTAAATCATTTTTCTGTTGCTGTAACTGAATTAAATTTCAACATGAGTTTTGCTGGAGATATTGAAACCATAGCAATATCCTTTTTGCCCCCTAGAAACATAAAATCTTTGGGGTTTTCTTCCCTCTCCCTTATTGAGGTGAGGGAGGGAAACCTGAAAATAATTCACTTTGATTGATAATTTATATATAAACAGGTAGATATGCCTGAGTCTTGTTATATCACATAGTATACCCTGCCTTAATTTTGTTGAGAGAAAAGGACCTCTGTTGGAAAGCCTTACTTTATAAACTTCATATACTCGGTCTATAAGAAAGAATTGTAAGAATGGCATCATAAGCAATTTATTAAGGTTACAAATACTTATTGGCCACCTGTTTTGTATGTAATACTGCTCTTGGCATTGTGGAATATACTAAGAAATAGAACATACAATCCTTGCCTTTGAAGGTATATATTTGGGGAATTAATTTAAAGTAATTTTTTAAAAGTAAATTAAGCTGGAAATGGTGGTGCATGCCTGAATCCCAGCACTTGGGAGGCTGAGGCAGGAGGATTGCCATGAGTTTGAGGCCAGCCTGCACTATACAGTGAGTTTACATAACAAGACACTATCTCCAAAAACATAAGTAAATAAAAATAAAAAGCAAATTAAGAGTTAATAATTTTGAGACATCACAAGGCGTTTATGACTGTTAGGATGTGTAGGTATTTCGTGTTTGGGGGCTAATGAGGCTTCTGGGGATGAGAGGTGACTGGTCAGGGAAGAGCATGTCTGACTTGGGCTTTCAAAGGTCAGTAGCAATAACTGAGAAGGATACTGAAGCAGGACACTCCATGTAAGAAAAGTATCTCATCCACAGAGACACAGATGGAAAAGATTGTGGGAAAAGAAAAAAAGCAATAAATGATCTGATCTGATGTTTTAAAATGAAGACTGAGAAAAACTGAATAGTTTCTCACCTTTCAGATATATGGCCCCTTTTATGGCCTCCTTGTGTGGTTGGGTGGGGGCCTGTGACTAGTCTCGGCTAATGAATTAAAAACATCATGGAAGCAACATGCTAGGTTGGCCCATAAAATTATCAGTGTGAAACTTTGTAGTCTTTTCCTTCTGGCACACTGACCAGCCACATTGAAGATGACATCAACCCTGTGGGCCTGGGTTCTTGAGTTATTGAATAGACCCTGCTTGCCAACCTATTATATATGAATAAAAAGTAAAAATACTGATTGTTTAAGCCACCAAGATTTGGGGGGGGTTATTAATCATACCACAGTGTAACCTAGCCTATCCTGACTATTACATGGATGAGTAGCAGACTTAAGTAGGTTAAGGAGATCTCCTGGAAAAAATAAGGAAAAAATTTTTTTCCAACTGTGTGTTCTAAAACCCTAACTTTTTTTTTTTTTTTTGGTTTGTTTGTTGAGACAAGGCCTCACTATGTAGTTTAGGCTGGCCTGCAACTCACTATATAACAGATGCTGGCCTCAAACTCAGTGATCCAAGTACTGGGATTGCAAGCATGTCCCACCATGCCTAGTTTACAAACCTAACATTTTTAAGAAACAAGCCTGAGGGGCCAAGGATTTAGGTCAGTGGCACCATGCCTACCTCTCAAGTGGAAGGTCCTGAGTTCAATCCCCAGTATTGAAAAAAAGAAATAAGCCCACCAGGCAGTGTGGCCCGTGCTTGTAGTCCCAACACTCAGGAGCCTGAGGCGGGAGGATCACTTGCACTCTGGAACTTGAAGCCAGTCTGGGTAACATAACAAGACCCCTTCTTAAAAAGAGAAGGTAGGGGGCCAGGGATTTAGCTCAGTGGTTCCGGCGCCTGCCTCGCAAGCGCAAGGTCCCGAGTTCGATCCCCAGTACGAAGAAAACAAAACAAAACAAAAAAAGAAGGTAGGGGAAAGTAAGCCCAAGTCACGCTCCTGTTTATAAGTAAAAGATTCCAGTATAGTAAAGAAATATAATTTCTTACAGTAAACATTAAAGCTAACTTTAGAACTTAAAATGTATTAAAACAACCTGGGGAGGGGGGAAAGGTGAAATAAGATCTAGGCAAAAAGAAGATTATAGGTTGTAGGGTTATCACTGGATAAACTAATTATTTGTAGTGTTTTAATTGTTCCCTCTCCCAACTTTTTTGCTTTTATTTTTATTTTTTTATTAGTACATGTTTACAGTACATAATGATTGCATTCATTGGTGGGGAGTGGATGCATGTACATAAAACATCTTAAAACTCTACCAACATAAAATTATTTTGAAATTTTACATTCTTCAGTACTCTCAATTGTAACATCATTAATGATTTTTTGTGCACTGTGTAAACATTTTTGTCTTTAAAGATGTTAATATATTTAATATTTTCTATATGCTCATCTCTTTTTTCTTCATAAACACATTTTCAGGTCACATTGATGTTGTGAAATTACTTGTGGCTCATGGAGCTGAAGTAACATGCAAAGATAAGAAGTCTTACACACCTCTTCATGCAGCAGCGTCTAGTGGCATGATCAGCGTAGTCAAGTACCTTCTAGATCTTGGAGTTGATGTAGGTATACAGGTTGAACAGTATAAAACAATGAAGTATTTATATTTTTATTATTACATTATTGACAGGTTATTTCATGTTTGAAAGATTATTTTACAATAATATTTGTCTTTTCTCCAGATATTTTTAGTCCTTTAAATAAGTTAGTGCAAAGTATGATCAAGATATGTAATTAATCCAAGTACATTTAAAGCTAAAATACATTCTAAACATGAATGATTTGCCAGGTTTTCTTTTCCATCATTTTCGAGGTCCTGAATCTCCAGTTCTATGAAAACCAGTAGATCACACACTCTTGGATTAGATAGCTAGGTTATTGGTAGTCCTGTTTACCTAATTAATATGATATTCTCTTTAAATGACTATAACAGATTGCAGTACAAGGTATTGGTGAGGGCTAGGCTTGAAGACTAGAGACTTCTTGCTCACCAAATATGTGCTCCTTACTGTATAATTCTTTTGTTTAGGACGTAATACTGTTCTATCTGGATATATTTGATTGCTGAATTGAGAAAGCTAAGAGTACCTATAGCTTTCACAAGCATGCTTTAAACTTTATTCCTGCTGTACTTTTACTCTTATTTTTGGTACAGTTCAGGCAAACTTCTGGTTCTTCAAAGTGGCAAATTATGTAAGAGAGGGCAAAGTCGTGCTGGGGGCAGTGGTTAAGATCAGGAGCAAAAAACTAACAAAAAGTAGGTTATAGCTGTTTCGGCAGTGTAACATAATTGCCTTAAAAGTCCCCTAATACTGTACAGATAAATGAACTAACCGTGTTTCTAGTCCCTGTTTTAAATCCATTTTAGTACAGTTTTAAAATTTATTTTGGTGACAGTAAAACAACATTTGTAGATTCTAGTGGCAGAGTGTTCTGTGAGGTAAATGTAAAGCCCTCTAGTGACGTATGACCTCTTGTGTGGGTTTTTAGTATTCTAGAAATTTTATAACAAATTATCACAAAGTAAGGGACTTTAAAAAACAAATTTAATCTTAAGGTATGAACAAGGTTGGTTCTTTCTGAAGGCTTTGAGAGAAAATCTTCTGGTGACAAAATGTAGGTACTTTGATTGAAATTAAGGTTTTTACTTCTTCAAATTTTTGTTACCAGTGATTAAAGTTGTGACAAACTGAGGCCTACTACAAAGTTAGAGGGCAGTCTGTATACAAGGCCACCCAACTACATGTTTTGGTGGCTCCCAAAACCACCTTCAGCTTAATAATTCACTAGAAGGACTCAGCAAAATTCACTGAATACACTTACAAAATACACTTACAATATGTTTTTGTTTTGTTTTGGCTTGCTTTTTGCAGTACTGGGGAATGAATTCAGGCCCTTCACAACTGAACTACGTCACATGGGCTGCGTCCCCGCCCCCCCCCCGCCCCCGTTTAATTTTGAAATAGTCTCACTAAATTGCTAGGATTGGGCTCAAACTTGGATTCCTTCTGACTCAGCCTCCCAGAATGCTGGGATTACAGCTATGTACCATCAAGCCCAGCTCACAGCTATGGTTTATTAGGTAGAAGATTACATCAGTAAAAGGAAGGGAGATCAGTTAACATCAAAGGAAGGGAGACACATAAGGTAGAGCCTACAAGTGTACTTCAGGTGAAGTTTTCTATCATTCCCTTCTCATAAAGACTGGACGCATTACTTTTCCAGTATTAACGTGTGACAGTGTCCACAAAGTATTGCCAACTCAGAATGCTTACCTGAGCTTCGTTTCCAGAGGTTTTTTTATTGGAGTCTCATTACATAGACATAATTTATTGATTACCTACATGATTGATTTCATTCTCCAAGTCTGATTATTCCTCATGAACCACAAACCCCACCCTAACTCATGTTGTTGGTTTAACCACGTGCATGACAGGGCTGTAGTTTGTATGTCTCACTGCTGGGCTCTCAACCACCATTATTACATGCATGACTGTTCCATGGTTCAGGCTGGCAGGAATGTGTGAAACCTGGCATAATTGACCCCATACCATTCTAAGATAGTCAAATGTAGTCAGCCTTTTTCTAAGATCTCGTGTGTGGCCCATCTGAAACAAGGACATTGCTATCAGATATAGATTACCTCAGCCAGAGGCAAAGGTCAGATCTCTTTTTGGAGGCAAAGTCAAATTCTTTACCCAACTGTCTCCCCATTTTATTTATTAGAAATAGGGTGAAAAAAAACCCCTGAGTTGCATGAATTATTTCTCATTATTTCACATTCTTTTGGCTTTGATAAAATGTCAACATATGAAGCTAGAAAATAGATGCAAGTTTGTAACAAACATGAGCTAAATAGAAGAACATGCCATTCATTTTTTTTAATCCTGATATCTACTTCATTACTCATTTTAGTCTTTTGTCACTGCAGTGTGAAAAAGTTGAAAATAACACATTACTGAATGAACCTCAGAGTCTTCGTTGTTGGTTCATTTTTCATGATTCTGAGTTAATTCTATAGAAAGTCGTTTATCTAGAAGGCTTTCCTTTTTTTTAATAAATTTCATTTTATCCCTTTCCCCCTCCCTATGTACAAAAGCTTTGTTTCCATTTTTTCCTTCTATTCTCACAATTTTTCTTGTCCTACAAGACCTTTAAAAATAACATTGTTGGGCCGGGGATTTAGCTCAGTGGTTCCGCCACCTGCCTTGCAAGCACAAGGGCCCGAGTTTGATCCCCGGTACCAAAAAAATAAAAAATTGTTAGTTTTTATTTTCCTAAAATATCTTTTTTGGAACCATTCAGTTTTGTCATGACATAGACATTGTATATGTAAATTACATCCTCTAAATGTACATAATCCATGTAACACCAAAATGTTTATGTTCATTATTTTAAAAGAACTTTAGCATTATAATCCTTATCTGTGTATTTGTCCCTTTTTGTTTTTTTTTCTAATTTTTTCTCACTTTAATAATTTGATCACAGCCACAAGATTTCTAAAGTAGCCCATAATAATGATACTTAGCAAAGCTACTTTAACATTCACACATTTTTTTTCCTTCCAATAGATGAACGAACCAAATGCCTACGGAAATACACCTCTTCATGTGGCCTGCTATAATGGACAAGATGTTGTAGTGAATGAACTTATAGACAGTGGTGCTAATGTAAATCAAAAGAATGAAAAAGGATTTACTCCTTTGCACTTTGCTGCTGCATCTACACATGGAGCATTGTGTTTAGAACTTCTAGTTGGCAATGGGGCTGATGTCAATATGAAGGTATGAAATCAGAACCCATGTTTAAAAGCATAGCCAGTACCATTCAGTGATTTAATAATGACCTATGATAAACTTAAGAACATGGATTAACCTTTAAAAGACACTGAGTGAGGCCAAAAGTATATACCGAATTTCTAGCTCTAAAAGGTTCTAGAATAGGTGAAGTTTCATTTACATGGGATTCTAGAATGTATAGTTGAAAAAAATCGGAACAATTGTTAGTTCTGAGAGGAGGGATTGATTGGGAAAGAGGCATGAAAAAACCTCGTAGGGTTGGTGGTAATGTTTTGTATTTTGACAGGGCTTTGTATTATATAGATAAGCATTTATCAAAACTCACTGATACATTTAATATTTGTACACCTTATAGTAAATTTTCTCTCAGAAGAAAAAAACTAAACAAAAATTGAATAGTATCTGTTGTAAGCTGTGTGGCTATGACATGTAGTAATGTTCATAGCTAAAAGGCATCAAATAGGCGGATAGATTGAGGATGTGATAAAAGTCATCAAACAGTAGAGTGTTAGTGGTAGAGTCCAGATGGGATTGTATATGGATATTTATGCTGCAGTTCTTTAAACATTTCTGTTTTGAAATTTTTCGGCTTTTCTGTTGTGAAATTTTTCAGTGTTAGGAGAAAAAACCAGTATCAGTGTGATCACTTTCAGAAGGAAGTACTTGGACTATAGAAATACATGAAAATTCTGGATCCAAAATAAATTTATTTTTACTGTATAATTCTATGAGAAAGCACATGAAAAATTTGAGTATCAGTATTTTATGGTACATAGATTTTTCCAAGATGCTTTTACTTGCTCTGTATTAATTCATCAGTTCATCCTTTGACCACTTGGCAAACTGTATCTTGTGGTAAGAAGAAAAGAAAACCACAATCACAATTGAACCACTTAGGATTAATAAAAAATATTTAAGCTTGATTTTAATTATTTTGCAGGTATATGATAAGTAATGTCTTTCAGACTGGTAGAGACAGACTCCATTTTCTTACCTAATTTCCGTTAAACCTTTAGTGATGCCGCTGACCCACTCAGACAGCTGTAGCATCATCATGTCCATCGGTAATTAGGTCCATTCTTTAATTTGCCTTCTTCCAGCTAAGGGACAATGCTTAGGGAAAAACTTTCTTTTTAAAGAATACACGTTTAAGGCTTTCAGTTCTCAAATCATAATGATTTTTCTTTTGCTTAGTTTAATTAGTATATTAAAATTGGTATTAGTATGTTAGTATACTTAAAAATGTGTTGATAAGGGGTCAGGGATTTAGCTCAGTGGTTCCGGCGCCTGCCTCACAAGTCCAAGGTCCATCCCAAGTTCGATTCCTGGTACTAAAAAAAAAATTATATTGATAAGTTTGAAGCACTTATTTTAATTTGAAGAATTTTTACTTTTTTGGATAATCAAGGCCCAGAAAAATATATAAATTGTTTTGGGAAGGAAAGTTACTTTTTTCTTCAAAAGTCCAGTAATTTTTAAAACAAAACTTGGGTATTTCATAAATAAAAGTTTTGAAATTATTGTCCCTCAAAAGCAAAGGTCACAACCACATTTTTTTTAGTCTGAGACTTATTCATAATAAAATAGCTATAGTTAAAATCTTTGTAGGTTAAAGTGTCAGGGAGATAATGGATGTTTGCCTATATCATTAGCTATTACACACTTTTCAGTTATATGGTGCTGTCTTTAAAGGATAAAAGTTAGGCTTCCTACTTTATACACTGCCATTTAGACATGAATATTTAATATAATTTGATGATAGTCCCTTGATCATATCAATTTTGGGATTGAACCCAGGGCCTTTTGCATACTTAGCAGTGATCTACATCGAGTTCTTTCCATTTTATTTGGTGACAGCACAGGCTAGCCTTAAACTTGCCAAGCTGTCTCCCTCAGCCTTCCAAATAGCTGGGATTAGAGGTATCCACCCACCCTCCCCAGCTTGCCTGTGATTACTATTTTTTTGTGTGTGTGATTATTTTTAAACCTGTGTTTTCTTTTGAAATTTAGAATTGAGAATCAACTCCAAGAGATTGACTTATAAAATACTCAGAACAGTGGTCCCTTTGAGGTTATATCCTGAGTTTTTAAATTCAGTACTAGATTTCGTACATTAAAAAAAAATTTTTAACTAAGAACCAAGACACATCATGTAAAGGTCCAAGATCCCAATGATGAATGTAACTGTATTCTATACCTAAAATGTACCAATAAACTTAATGGAAAAAAATTTTTTTAGCAAAGGAATTAATATTTCATGTTTAAGTAGATTTGAAGACAGTGAACTGTAATGTTAGTTTAGAAATAGAGTTCATAAAAGTTGTCTTAATCTCAACCTGAGAATGTATGACATCCTATTTATATGTAATTGTCCAATTATTTTATTGCCAAGTTCCACTGGAACATATTTCTCATGTTGATAACTTCTGCAGTCCCTTCTGGTTCTAAAATTATGCAAAAAATTTTAATAGGTATGAATTGTCACCTAGCAAAAATATATATTCATTCCTGACACATATATTTACAGTATTTGTCATAAATGAGTGTTTATTAAGTTGTTGATTGACTGAGGGGCTGAGTCTAACCCTTCTCTGTTATAAAATAAAATTAGATTCATTAACCCTCATGTTCTTTTTTTCACTGCTGCTGCCTTTTTCCAACCCCATTCTCCATTTTATTGTTTTCTGTCCTTGATTAAGTTGTAGATTACTAGAAACTGGAGTGATTCAATTTGTAATAACTAAGTTGATAAGCTTTTTTAAGTTGTCCTCCAGAGTGAAGGAGGTAAATAAATGGCTTGAAAAGACAGTAACTATCCAGTTTTATAACCGCTTATTACAAGCCCTACTTCATTAATTACTTCACTTGTACGTAAACTTTTTTCACACCCACTTCATTCTTCTTTAAGAATAAAGATGGATCAACTAAACAAATAGACCAAGAACTTGATTTAAAATTTAAACTTAAAAACTACTCTAAAAAAGGGCCGGGGATTTAGCTCAGGGGTTCCGGCACCTGCCTTGCAAGTGCAAGGTCCCAAGTTCAATTCCCAGTAACAAAAAAAAAATACTCTAAAATGTGTGGCTTTTTTCTTGTTGTATTTGTTATTACTGTTTTTGATTACACATGAAACTCATTCTTAGAGTGTTGATGGGGCTTGTTTGTTTTGTTTTTGCTTAGAACTCCTACTTTGATTCTACAGTGATTTGAGATAGTTAAATAAAAAACTCTTTATACTGTTTCTCCAATTCAGAGAAATTAATGTGCCCTCCTAATATGTATGAAAGCAGACTTTTCATTTGGAAATCTGAAACTCTTTCTTTGTATATGTAGAATAATTTTTATGATCAGTATATACAAAGTAAGTTACCCTGGTGCCACCTATAACTTACAATAAAAGACTACCATTTATTTGTTAGGAGACCTGATTGAATTCTTTAACCTCAGGACCTCAGTTTCCTCTTCTGTGCAACAAGATTAGTAGGGTCTATCTCATTGGGTTGTGAGAACTAAATGACTAATATATATGATGTTTTAAACTATATCTGAAACATTGTGCTTACTATATATGTTAATTAAAATTAGATGTTCCACATTTCATCATGTTGAGTATCCTAATTTTTATTACACATCTCTGTATTGGTTTGGGTTCTGTTTGTAAAAATGACTGTAGGTAAAACCTTAGTATTAAAAAATCAAAATTTGAACCAGGTGTAGTGTAGAAGTGGCACATGCCTATACTCCCAGCATTTGGGAGGCTGAGACAGGAAGATTGCCATGAGTTCAAAGCCAACCTGGGCTACATAGAGAGTTCAAGATCTCCCTAACCTACATAGCAATACTGTCTCAAAAAATAAAAATAAAATAAAAATTTGTCACATAGGGAGCACTTTGAAAAGAAACTAAGCTTTTGGTTTTTGTTTTTTTCTTGAAAGAATAACAGCTGACACATTTATAAACACCAAATAAAAAATGTTAGTTGATACTGTAAGAGGCATTATTGTGTTATGTGGACATTTTACCAAGGTTAGTGTATTTACTCTGTACGACAGACTGTGAAATATAGATGGTATTGTCCTCATTTTCATTTGAGGAACTGAAGGCTCGAAGAAGTTAGATAGTTTGTCCAAAATCTTGCTTGTGGTAAGTGGCAGCAATGAGACTCATGCCCACGTTAATCTTGACTCCAAAGCCCATGCTGTGTACATCTTCTCTCCCTTATCGCTTCTCACACTGCCTCCAAGATTGTAAATTGTGTAAGATTGTCTGGATGACCTGTTTGCCTGAAAAATTCATATAAAATAGAATCAAATACTGAGGTGTGGGTATTTATTATGTTGCTGTAATATTCCAAATGGTATGAAGATTTCTTAAAAGAGATGTGCATTCGTACACTGTTAGTATAAACTTAGGACATTTGTCACATTTCAGTTTACACAGAAGGCATGCTGACTGTTCCTAAAGGAGTAGGTGCTGCAAACCAGTTTCTTCCCTAGATAGATAGATAAATAGATAGATTGATTGATTGATTATATATAATAATTATATATTATTACAATTATTTTGTATATAATCCATATATATATTGATTAATCAAAAGATTTTAGGGAAGAAAAGAAGTTAACCTAACTCAGAAGAAGATACCACCTACCTCAAGGATTGTTTATTTTCATATTTAAGAGTCCTTTAGAATTTGTACATGACATACACACATGTCCAGCCAGTCTGATTTAGTATTCTAAAGAGAAATTTTATTTGAGAAAATAGTTAATAATACCAATTACAAATAATTAACAAATTACTATACCCATACATTTTTAAAATGATTTATAGTAACTGAATTTAATTCTGATACTCACTTCTTGGTCAAGGAGGGATTCAGGATTCCATAGAATTAAAACACTGTAATAATGTGAAATTTTGAGTCTTAAATATGAGAAGCATACCCTGACTATACCACTCCTGATTATGTGCTCTTGGGTGAATCATTTAATATCCTTTTGTATCAATTTTCCCACCTATTGAATAAGTATGGTATTAAGATTATTCCTCATTATTCCACCTAAAGCTTTTTATATACTGTAAGCATAAAGTTTCTTGTATACTTGTGCTTTATGATACAAATAAATATTTGTTTATAATTTTGAACAGCAATTTTACCATAGGCTTCAATTAAACTTAATACTTGAGTAATAGCTAAAAAAAAGGAGCAAAAGGATATTCAGAATAACACTACGATTACATATTATGGATTTAACAGAGTGGTTTTTAAAAAAAATTTTGTGTTGGATTATTTCAGAGTAAAGATGGGAAAACCCCACTGCACATGACTGCCCTCCATGGTAGATTCTCCAGATCACAAACCATTATCCAGAGTGGTAAAAAGTATTTCTGTTTGTTTTTTATTTCTTAAATGTAATAAAAACATCCACAAAATGAATGGTATTCAGGAATTGTCATACCAGTATACATATTTTTACTACTTATTTCAAATCTCTTCAAATATTAGGGTATAAAATGCTATGTATGTGTATGTTTCATAATTTATTTTTCTATTGTTTCTCCTGGATTGTTTTATTTCTATAGCAGTTAGAACTTTTTCGGTATTACCAAGTAGAAAACTGCTTTTCCACTACATGTGTTGTATATTAATATATATGCTCTGTGGCATTTATCACTTTTCCTTTTGAATATTTTGAACTGTTTTTAGAAACTTTCTGTGTTTGAATTAGTGCTAGGCAAGCTAAACTTTTAAATAAAATGAACTTTTAGATGTGTTATTTTAAGTCAGTGTTTCCCAAACCATGTTCCAAGGAACTGTTAACAGTCCTCAAGATATGATAAGTTGGGGGCCGGGGATTTAGCTCAGTGGTTTTGCCACCTGCTGCACAAGCACAAGGACCCGAGTTTGATCACCGGTACCAAAAAAAAAGATATGATAAGTTGTATGAGTTTTGTTGCTTGAGGTTTTGTTTTAGTTTGCTGTAGTTTGGTTTTATGTCTTAGTTTCACTTGGTTTTACTTAGGTGCTGTAGTTTTACAGGAAAACTAGGAATAGGCTGTTGACCAAGTAATTTTTGAAGCAGTGTATTGCAGTCTTGCTGCTGCCCAGTGTATGCATATTAAAGTGCTAAGGAGTGTTGCTCTAAAGAAACGTGTCTAACACAGTGTTTCCAAACTTGTTGGCCCCTAGGACCCTTTGGTGAATCTAAAATGTGAATTTTAAATCTTTTGCTCAATTCACAAAACTGCCTTAAGCATGATATCTATCAAGTGCTTGGCCCCATAAATAATCCATGAATGAAATCTAGTTAGAATTGCAGTATCCATTAGTTGGTGCTTGAACAGTATTTTACATTGCACTATATGTAGTAGGTTTAACTTACATAGTTTAGTGTCTGACACTGTGCCCTCTATTACAGGAGCTGTAATAGACTGTGAGGATAAGAATGGAAATACCCCTTTGCACATAGCAGCACGATATGGCCATGAGCTGCTAATCAACACTCTTATTACAAGTGGTGCTGACACTGCAAAGTAAGTAGTACAGGCAGAGGTGTTGATAGCTGTTACAGGGAAATAAAAGGAAATGAACTGCGGTTTTCTGGATATGTCAGATGGAAATGTGAATTTTCTCCTCAATACTGTACTGTCATCTTTTTCCTTTTTTAATATTGAAAGCATTGTAGATGAAAATATTTAAATATACTTCTAGCTGGTACATCAGTGAAGTATAATTTTGCATATTTTACCTCAGTTCTTCCTCAAGCATGAGTAATACAGTATGCAGTTTTCATCAGAGACTTAATTTTTGTGCTCTTTATTTTTATTCTATAAATACTTAAGAGACTAAAAAAGTTATACAATGTGAATGCTTTTTTATCCAGATACTATCTGGAGTGTTCAGACTGTGTTGTGCAGAGCTCAGGGATTCCCTGGTTGCTGCTGAAAAGATTTCGGCTCCCTGAGGCAGGAGGGTCACAAGGTTGAGCCCAGCCTGGACAAGTTAGTGACTGAATCCCTGTCTCAAAAAATAAATAAATAAAAATAGGGCTGGAACCCAAAGGCCCTGGGTTTAATCCCCAGTCCACCAAAATAAAAAACTATAACAACGAAACATACACATACTTTAAAAATGTGTGTGTGTGTGTATAGTAATTTGCCCATTTTCACCTTCTAGCCATATTGTTCTCCAAAGTGTTAAGATTTTGACTTAAGTAGTTATCTTTCATTTTAGTAATTTGTTTAAATGATTATATTTTTCTTTGGTTATAATGAAGGTACTGTCCTATTAACCTTAGGCGTGGCATACATGGAATGTTCCCCCTCCATTTGGCAGCCTTAAGTGGCTTTTCAGATTGCTGCAGGAAACTTCTTTCTTCAGGTAAGGGGAACCTTTACAAGCACACACGTCGTCGTTGTTGTTATTGTTGTTTTTGTCTCCCTAAAATTTTAAGACAATGTCCAGCTCTGGACATTTAAAAAAAACAAAAACAAAAAACCAACAGTCCATTAGTGGTCAGTTTTTTGTAATATTGTACACTGTTAAAAATATTTTCTCATTTTGTAGCTATTCATATTTTGTAGTTTTTGAGATTGATGGGAAGGATGTGATTCTTAATATATCTTGACATGATAATTTAAAAATTAATACAGCTATAATATTGTATAATGCGTAAGACATTCATTCTTACAGGATTTGATATAGATACTCCTGATGATTTTGGCAGGACCTGCCTACATGCAGCTGCAGCTGGAGGGTATGTTAATGGTTTTTATTTCTTTTTTAAAAATCAAGGGGATCTAGAAGGTATTGCTCAGTGAGTGCACAAACTTAAAGCTCTAGGTTCAAGCCCCAGCACAGAGGAGAGAGAGGAGGGAAGAAGAGAGACTGGAAAGGAAAGGGGGGATGAATGAAGCTGGTCATGTAAGTTTTTCTCTTTTCTCTGTTCCTGTCTTGTTAGTTCTGAGCCACCACAAAATAGCAAAACAAGAGGTTTTGGATAAAGAAAGACTTGTTTTCGTCATCTTTCACTTAAGTGATGAGTTGTAAGAGGGGGTGGAGAATAAACCTACAAGTATTACTTTGTATAAGAGGAAAAATTTCTGGATAAGTAAAAAAAATCTAAAAAGTGATTTCTTAAATAAAAATTCATATCCTCAAGTGAGAACATCAAAATATTGGGAGTATTTTGAATAATACTGGTACTCTTTGAGTATTTTAAAAATTACTTTTTGGGAAAATGTTCATTGCATTTATTTCTTTACTGGGAAGAGGAAAATTTGGGTTTAAAAGAGTTTGAAGTAAGTTTTAAACAGCACTGTTTGGGAGAAACTAGGCAGCTGGCTCTACTGACCAGACTTCAATTAAAATACTTTTGGACTCTGACATCTTACTGCTAATCTACTGGTAATTCTGATAATTTAGATTTGTGATAAGCTATTTAATTCATGATTATCAAAAGGACATTTTGCAAGAACTTTATTTCTAGTGATAATTCCTTTAAAATTTCTACTGATTTCAGAGGCCAAATATGCTGAACCAGGCCAGTCTAAATTGTAGGGATGGATTGTGAGCATGTGATTGACTCTTGTTCTTTCAAGGTCACTAGAGAACATTTCAGTTAAAAACTAATTTCCATTTAACTTAACCCATGAGAAGGGAACAGTAGACTTATCTTGACTGCTTGGCAGTCACAGTTTTTATTGTAATATATTAAGTTGATGTTTAGGTTTTTAAAAAATGAAAGGAAAACCATGTATGTAGTGTAGTCTCTTACCATTTTAACTAAGAATACATCTAAGCAAACATAGTACAGGAGAAGATAATGGAAAGGTCACTTGGGACACTATGTTTTTGAGATCTTTTTAACCCATTTTAATTTAGCATTAAAGACTAACATTTAAACTGTTTAATGATAAGCATCTTATTTCCTAAAAATTCCTTAAGATCTCTTTTACAAATGATCTTCCTTTTTAAACAATGACGTGATTCATTATTTCCTAACAATGTGCCAATAGGTATGTAAATAATTTTTTTAATTCTAGAGAAGATAAATTTTAATGTTTTAGTCTTTATAAAATGTGAGTCATGCCATTTTGTTCACATTTATCCTCATTTAAAAATATGCTTATATGCTTATTTAAATCTATCGATTTTATTATAAAATCACTGACAACTAAGTTTTTTCTTTTCCCTGAATAGGAATTTGGAGTGCCTAAACCTTCTGCTGAATACTGGTGCAGACTTCAACAAAAAGGATAAATTTGGAAGGTAGGGTACAGTTCCTCTGTAGAACCTTCTGATTTCTGAAAATTAACTGAACATTAACTATCTTCTGCATTGTAGTGATGATTGTTGGGAGTACCAATTAAAGCCAGTGATCTAAATGTTTACTCTTACCCAGGCTTCCACTTGAGTTCCTTCATAGCCTTAGGCTACCAGCCACAGCTCTGTACTTATAAGTACCTCTATACTTTTTTTCCTGTGGTGGGGATTAAACCCAGTGCCTCTCACATGCAGGGCAAGCCCTTTCCCACTGAACTACATGTCAGCTAACCATTCATTTCTCCAGCATGGAGTCCTGTTGCCTCAGCCCCCAACTAGCTGGTATTACTACCTCTACACTTTGTTTTTTCTGTTTGTTTGTTTTTGATACCAGGGATCAAACTCAGGACCTTGCACTTGTGAGGCAGGTGCAGTGCCACTGAGCTAAATCCCTAGCCCTACCTCTATACTTTTTTATATCACTTCTCTTCCTTCCATAATATAGCCATGGAAATTTAAAACTCCATGGTACCTATGTTCCTTCAAGAAACTCACAGTAACAGAGCATGGTGGCACATGCCTGTAATCCCAACACTCTGGGAGGTTGAGCAGATGGATCATATATTCAAGTCCAGCTTGCAGAACTTACGGATTTAGTGAGACCCTGTCTCAAAATAAAAAAAGATGGAAGCTAACATTAACATAGTTCTAACTGTAACGTAGTTCTGAGTTTTACTTCCCGTATGTGGTTACAAAACACTATTAAAGAGGGAAAAAATAGGTTGCAAATATATGTGTGATTTTTCTTTTCTCCTTTTTTTATAAATCACTCACACATCTACATATCCTACAAGTAGAATCTCCAGGAAGACAACTATGCAGTGACAGAATATTGTCATTCAGCCAATGTTCTGTTCCATTGTTGAATGTCAACCCTCGTTGTTAGTTGCATTTGTGAGAGCAGGATATGAAGTTATATTATCTAGTCCTACTTAGAGCAGGAACAGAAGAGTGTATTAAACCATATAGGAGAGAAGTATTGGGAATTTGAATTTGTTTGAAAGATGAAGGTGATAGTATAAGCAAAATTATGTGTCAGTAGTTAAAAATTGTACATATCAAAGTATATGACAGGGGAGCATGTCAAAAGAAACATGTGAATGTAGGTACACGTGATGGGACCAGTACAGCAGAGAAGTACAAAGAGTTACAAATGTTAGGAATTCAGAAGTAATAAAAGAAAAAAATAATTTGACCCCAAGTTTGAGAAACAAACTGATCTCGTAAGCCTGCTAATGGAAGGAATTAATGACCCACAAAATCAAGAATCGCTTTGTGTAGCCTAGGAATGCAATATTTTTGTAGTTAATTTGCTTTTATAATTGTATTTAAATCTAGTTTATATTAAATTGTAACATTTCAGGCAATCTATACTACAAATAGGGCTTCTGAAGCATATTCTGAGTTTAGAAACATTAAAAGTAATTCATGTTAATTGCATTTTTAAAAATGTATTATCATTAAGTAAGGCAAAACAGTGTTTTACTATCATTTTATTAGGTAAATATTTTAGGAAAAAATAATAGTATGAAGACTTCTAAATCTACCATCATTTATCTGGTTGTTTTTTTCTTTTATGAAATTGTGGAATAGTCACAGTCCATTCAGTAACATTCTGCTTCACTTTGAAGAAATCAGCTGTAGATATTTAGTCTTTAGAAATTAAAACAGTGTTCTAGTTCATCTGAATAGTGAATAGTCTTCAAAACTAGGCCTTTATTGCTTGAGAAATCTGTTGTTACTATTCAGGGTTTTCATGCCGTTTATATAAGAGAGCATTCATTTTAATGCTTAAATTTTTTCCTATTGCCCTTTATTTCTCTGCTGATATAATGAACAGAGTCTGCTAACTCTTTACTGAGGGACATTTTTGTTAGTGTAGGAGAAACTTTATTAAAATGAAAGTGTTTGAGTTTCTGAGCAGAATATTGTGGTTTGTAATTCACTGAGCGGAATGACTGGATTGCAGCTGGTAGAGAACCAGTAAATAACTGTTTCAGTTTTACTTTTTACACCAAAAAGTTCTCTAACATCTTACTTTCTCCTAGTTTTATGACCAGCCCTCTGAAAGACTTAGTATATGGTAGAAGACAGTAGAAAGATCCCTGTAAATACAATGTTTGTAACTGGATGAAGAGTCAACTATGCTTTTGATAACTATTGCATATCCCTGGCTTTTATCTTTCTTGTATTGGTCACAAAAGATCTCCACTGCACTACGCTGCTGCCAACTGCAATTACCAGTGCCTGTTTGCTCTTGTGGGATCGGGAGCAAGTGTGAATGACCTTGATGAAAGAGGCTGCACACCCCTGCACTATGCAGCTACATCAGACACAGATGGCAAGTAGGTATTGTATGGATGAAAGTGAAGAACTATTTCTGTAAACTGGCACCTTGCACGTGGATGGCTGTTCTATTGTAAATTTGTTTTTCCTTCTTGTATGTTTTATTATTGGTTATGTTTTCCTAAGTCCTTAATTTGGGAAATAGATTTCATAATTACTTATAAATCACAGTTATTACTATCTAGGCACTCAGCGATCTACCTTACCAACTGATCTGGTGGAAGAAAGATAAAAGGGCCTCTGGTCATCCCTGTCTAAAATATATCTTAATATCACTTCCATGTTTGTTCCATTTGAAAAGGAGAGAAGGGAGGGATAGATGGATAATGTCAGAAAAATAGGTAGAGATTGGATACAAGTATCCTTCAGAGGTAAGTCCAAATTTGCAAGGAATGCTTTTAAATTGGTATCCAAAAAAGTGGTAACTGAACTGTCAAAATCTAGCGCATAGTAGGTGCTGCATTATTACTTAAGTAAATAAATTAGAAATAGAATAATATGACCAACAATGAATGAGGAAAAAAGAATGATTGATACGTACACTGTTTTATAAATACTGCTCAGCTGTCAGACCCATTTATAGAATCTTTTTTTTTGGTACTGGGGATCGAACTCAGGACCTTGAGCTTGCAAGGCAGGTGGTGGAACCACTGAGCTAAATCCCCGGCCCCTATAGTATCTTAATATCTTTATTTTGTTTTCTTCGAAGAAAACTCATTGAAGATCAAAAACATCTTCAATGTTTGTGCTGTTCTCCATGGTTTGAGTCAGTGAAGAATAAAAATATCATTGCTAAAAATAAAGAATGATTCTTAGGGAAAGATACTATAGGATATAGCTCTTAGAAGTTATATACATTTAAATTGTTTCTTTGGTTTTCAGTATTTACTTTTTTTTTTTTTTTTTTTGGTGCTGGGGATTGAACTTGGGTCCTTGTGCTTGCATAGCAAGCGGCTAAACCACTGAGCTAAATCCCCAGCCCCAAGTATTTACTTTTTAATCCTCAAAATAAAAGGCATAATTCCATGCTATTATTTTCGACTATAAATTCAGTAACTAATTTCAAACCATTCCTATAACATTTTCTTTTTATTTCTTTTTTTTTTTGTATTCTTTTATTGGTACATTGTAGGTATTTCTTTTTATTTCTATTTATTTGTTTATATTTTGGTTGTTTTGTTTTATTTCAACCCAGCACTCTTGCACTGAGCTATATCCCCAGCCCATTTTTAAAAATAGGATCTAGGGCCAAGGATTTAGCTGAGTGGTTCCACCGCCTGCCTCGCAAGTGCAAGGACCTGAGTTCGATCCCTGGTACCAAAAAAAAAAATAGGATCTAAGTTGCCCAGTCTGGGTTCACATTTGTGATGCACCTGCCTCAGCCTCCCAGAGTGCTAGGATTCAGGGATATGCTACCACACCTGGTTTATAACATTTTCGTATGTTGAATTTGTGGCTACAATTTTAATTTTGTAGGTACTAGTAAAATGTGCTTTCTGTTTTCAGGAATATATCACCTTAGACATTTTAATCTATGCCAGAAAGGTTATATATAAATTTTGAGAGAAGTCAAAGTATTTAAGAGTATGCTTTTGGATAGTAGCGATTTAAAGAAAATCTGTGATAAGGACTGTAAATCAGAAAACACTTGGGAACAATGAATGAGCAGACTATCTTTCAATTTATTAGTTTTGTAACCTCAGGATTTCATTTATAATTTTTCTTCAAATGGGTTATACATACACAGACTTTTATCACCATCTGTCGTCCTTTATTATCATTGCCACAAACTGGTTATCGGGTGCAGCTCAACATGGTCTAAATTCCACTGAGAGAGTTCCCCCTCACCTCTCCACCCTGACAAACACAGATTACACCATGCTCCTCTGCCCCTGGACAATTGCATTAAACTTGAATTCTTATGAGAAAAAGAATTACCTAGTATTCAGCCTATGGTGTTGAGGATTTGTAGGTCTGTTTTCAGCCAGTTTGCGTTTTCCTTAGAAGTGTGCTAACACTTAAGCAAACTAAAAGCATTAGTTTTCTTGCATAATATAAACTGTTTTAGTAAGTAGGCTAGAGACTTTAATTATTTAAATATTTATTCTCAGTATCTGTATTAACCAGGTTGATGTACTGGAAAGAGCATGACCTTTGGCATCAAAAAGTCTCAAATCTGAGGGTCTCCATATTGGACCTGTTTGAGCCTAAACAAGTAATTGCTGAGCAAAAGTTTCTTCATGTATAAAATTAAAATGTAACCTACTTCTTTAAGAGTTGTGAGAGAAATATGTGAGAATATATATAGATCAGTCAATCTTGGAGCCTTTATTTTCTGTCTTGAAAGTATCAGAATCCCAGAGGTCCTGTCTAGTGTCATCATTTATTGATTCAGTGATCTCTTCCCTAGAAACCTAGAAAGTATAAGCCCCATTAATCATTCTATAGTACTAAAGGCACTCTTTTTATAATCATGTTGGAGGATAAAGTAGTAGCTTTAAAGGGGCTTTATTTGCTTTTATGGGGGGGAGTTGTTTGTTTGCTTTTTGAGACAAGGTCTCACTAGTAGTTCAGGCTGGCATTGAACTCACTATGTTGCCTAGGCTGGCCTCAAATTCACGGCTATCCTCCTGCCTCAGCCTCCTGAGTGCTGGGATTACAGGTGTGTGCCACCATGCCCCCTGTGGGCTGATTTATTTTTTATATTTCCCAGGAATAAATTGGATAGTAAGTGAATCTGGCATAATTAATTCATACGTCTGCCAAAGAGTGAAATCTTTCTAAAAGAAAGTATTCCTCGTAGCTTCAAATTACTATTATTTGGCTAGTAATGGAGCTCAGAGTTCGTGCTTAGCATAGCATACAAAAGGCCCTGGTTTCAATTCCTTCTGCAAACACAAAACAAAACTGGTGTTATTATTTATGTATACTTTGGGATTTTTGGTACACTGACATTGATTTTTGGGCTATTCAAATTACTATAATTACATACAGTTCTCTGCTTTATGTCCTTTCATCTTCACGTCAATAAATATGGGAAAAATACATGAAATCTGTCTTGACCTTCTACTAACCCATTATCCTGATGATTTCATCTTCTCTAGAGTCATAACTCAGCAAATTCTCTGAAATGTCTTTATTTTCTCATGATGTGAGAATCCAGCAAACAAATATATGGTTCCTATCACAAACATATTAACTGTTAATAAATACGGTTTTCTTTGCCAGTTAATGAGAAGTAGGGCTGGCTTTGTGCAAGGTGGTGAGGATCCTCCCCCCCCCGACCTTTGTATAGTGCAAATAATAGAAAGGAAAGATTGCAGTTGTTTTTCCAGATTATACTGTATACCAGTGATGACAAACCTTTTAGAGATTTCAGTGATACAAACAGCCTGCCACGTCATGTGTACCATAGGTTTGCCACCACTGTCATAGACAGTATAAGGAAGAAATCTTCCTCTTGCCAGCTCTCTGGGATAGTCACCATTAACACTTGTTTCTATATGTGTATATATAGGACCGGGGATTTAGCTCAGTGGTGCCACTGCCTGCCTCACAAGCACAAGGTCCTGAGTTCGATCCCCGGTACCAAAAAAAAGTACTCTGTATGTGTATATAAATCATTCTTTCCTGTTAATCAGAGGCTTAATCAAAGGTAAAGACTTAGTAAATGCCTTTATGGAATTTCATAGAAAATTTATGGAATGTGATGTCTAGTAAATTCCTTAAAACTCTTCCAGCTCCTATGCATTATCCACTTTTTGTATTTTTAAGTATTTTTTTAAGGTTTTTTGTACGTGTTTATAGTATGTGATTGCATGCCTCATGGGGAGTTGGTGTATGTACATAATACATCTGGATTCTTTTTTCTTCTTCCCCCTCCCTCCATCTCTTGGGCCCTCTTCCCTTTTGCAAAATACCTATCTCCCTATTTCTTACTATCTTTTATTTTGCTCTTTATTTATGTTTTGGGTTTCTCATGTAAGAGAAAGCATGAAGTATTTAAATTGTGTGTCTGATTTCATTCACTTAACATCTTGGACTCAAAGTACATCCATTTTCCTAGAAATGACTCAAGCTTAAAGCCTTCTTTATGGCAGAGTAGTACTCCCTTGTATGTAAATACCAAATTTTCTTTCTCCCATCGATGGACATATAGGCCACTTCGAAAATTGACAACTCATTCCAAAATTCCACAACTCGTAATAGTTGTGCTGATATAAACATGGATATTCATATATCACTGTAATATAATGTCTTGAACTCTCTTGAGGAAATGCCTAGAAGGGGAATAGCTGGATCAAATGGAATTTCTAATTCTAGTTTTTTGAAAATTCTCCATACTGATTTCCATAGTGGTTTTACTAGTATACATTCCCACCAGTAATCTAGAAAAATTCCTTTTTCCCCACAGTATCACCATTTGTTATTTGATTTCTTGATGTTAGCCATTCTTTCTGTAGAAAAGTGGGATCTCAGTGTTGTCTTAATTTTCATGTATTTATTGGCCTTTTATACTTTTTCTTCTGAGAAATGTCTGTTTCAGTTGCCTAGTTATGGTTTGAGTTTTGAGTTCTTATAAAGAATATGTAATATTCTAGATATTAGTCCTCTGCCTAAGGAATAGCTGACAGATTTTCCCCCCATACTATAGTCTCTTCACTCTGTTGGTTGTTTCTTTTGCTATGTGGGAACTTTGTAATTTGATATAGTCCTGTTTGTTGATTCTTAGTACAATTTCTTGTACAGTTGGGGTTCTGTTCAGAGTCCTTGCCTATCCCTATAGGTAAAACTCTTCAAGATTATCTTCCAGCAGACTTTTTCTGTTTTAACATTTAGATCTTTGATTTATTTTACTTTAGTACATGGTGAGAGATATGAGTCCAGATTCAGTGTTCTGTATGTGAATAACTAGTTTTCTCAGTACCATTTGTTAAAGAGATGCTTTCCTCCAGCATGTTTTTGGCCCCTTTGTCAAAGATCAGAGAGCTGAAATTGT